TTAAAAAAGTCTGTAAAAGCTACCTTGTCAGACAGTCCTTAAATCCGAATTCTTATCAGATTGAACCGCCTGAAATATGAGTGCAGCCCTTCTCTCTCTCCCTGCTTAACAGTGCTCAAATCAAGACTTGTTTTCTTAGCAGGGATGTTCATTGAGAACTAGGAAGCAAACAGGATGGCGAGCTTCCTGAAGCTATCGATGGACCCGGCCGGCAAATTGCCAAACCATTGTTGGGCAATGCCCTTCAATGTAGCCGGGAAACAGCGACACCAAGTGGCATCATCCAACCCCTACAGGTACATGAGGTTGGTGTAAGCCATGAGGTGGTCTTCTGGATTGGTGGTACCATCATAGGTACCAACCAACACGTTCTTAACCTTGGCCGGCTGAGCCGCCTCGGTTATCTCCCGAGTGAACGCAGAAGGTTGTTCACCCAGGCGCAGCAGACGGAGCTGCCAGTCCAGTGGCTGGACATTAGGGTATGCCGTCTGACCCCCAAAGAAGGTCGGCGGCATGAAGTGAGGAGGATACTGTCCGTAAGCCTGAGTAGGCACATACGGTACATTTCCAATCATATGAGGGCCAGAATGGACGGTATTACCGCCTGTCTAACTCTCATGCAAGGAGGGTGCACTCCCTGCAGAAATATTGTTGAAACTGTCTGGAAAGTTCGACGTTGAAGCCGACTCAGACATCGATTGATTTCTCTTCCTCTTAATAATCTCCCGGGCATCAAGAGTTGATTTTTTACTTCTCACCGGCTGCTGAGGCCGGCGAGTGTTATTGGTGTTCCCCCCAGGAAGTAGAATTTTTGACCAATCAATGGTCCCGGCTGCCTTCTCCTTTGGATGGGGAGTGGGCTGCCGGTTTCTGACTGACTTCCCCTTCTCTGGAGGAGTCTTCTTCGCCGACTGACCTTTACTCGGGGCAGCCCTGCTTTTGGTGATCAGCTCTGTAATTTCACCCATGAAACTCGTCATGAACCTCATGAGTTCGTCTCGGGTGACAGGGGCTGATCCAGTTGCCGTTTGGGTTGCCCCTTCCGGCTGCCCAGTGGGTCTGCTCGGACCCGCCTGGGAGGCGCCCCGCTCCAGAGTCTCTCTGGGCCGGATTCGCTTGACTCTGAGAGAGCCGTCTTCGGCTGTGGAGGTTTCGACCTAAGGATCCTCATCCTCCTCATGGTCTGTAAAGACTTCTGGGTCTTCGCCCAGACGGTTACGGGGTACAAACTCTTGAACCATCTTCGAGGTACTCTCCCCACAGACGACGCCAAATGTTTTGGGTGTTTTTGTCCCTCGGGAGAGTTACAACACGAACACTGATCCGGGGTGAGCTGTACCTGCAAAACAAACGGAGACACCAGTTGGGTGGTGCTCCGCCTCCGACGCACAAGTTAGAAACTTGAAGGGAGAAAAAAGGTGCGGAAATTTAGGTAGGGATCTGCTCGGATTCCAAGCTCAGGATGTCTCTATCAAAGATAAGTGTGCAATAAATGATAAAAAACGTGCCCTCAAAATGAGGGACATCTCCCTATTTATAGGGTCTTCGGGAATTGTGCCCCTGATTAGGTTACTGAACCCTAATCATTGATGGGCTGCGGCGTTTGGCGGCATTCTCGGGATTTGGGCCTGAAGGCCGTCTTTTCCCTTGATTTAGGGAATGACACATGTCAAGCAGGGATTGGTCCATTTTAGACCAATGTGGGGCTGACACGTGTCACCTTCTGATTGGGCCACGTGGCAGGGTAAAATTATTCTAAACACGTCCCATGTCCCGACCCGAGAAAACCGGGTACCCGGATTTTGGGTACTCAATTTTCTCGAGTCGGGTCAATGGGTACCCAAATTAGTTGGGTTGATAATTTACTGCCAAAAGTGAATATAGATAAACAATGTAGTAAAAGGCATTCTGTAAATAAAAAAAAAAAAAAAAAAAAAAAAAAAAAAAAAAAAAAAAAAAAAAAAAAAAAAAACCAATTCACTTTATATTATTGTGAAACAACACTTAATATCAAATTAGTGGAGGAAAATGTGGCCCAACTTTCTGAAACTAAGTGAAATAGATCAACGGCGTGAATCACGAGATCTATTGAAGAATTGAATCTGATGCATCTAGTCGAGATTGCCGTTGATGTTGTCCTACGTCTTTTGGGATTTGGAGATATTCTTGGTTAAAATCCTTTGAGAAGATGAACAACCCAACCCTTATCTCTCTTCTTTAAGCCATGAGTCACGAATTCAAATCATTTAGGAGCAATATTAACCAACAGAGGCAAGATTGAGAGAAAGAAATTGGAGAATGTGAGATGAATACTGAGAATTAAGGAGAGGAGAGAGATGGAGTAGACGACTACAAAAAAGGGGAATAGATGAAAACAAATAAACCCTAACTACACAAGAGTCTAGAAAAAGAAAAAAATTATAGGTGAAAAAAAATTAACTGCAGACTGGCCCATGTCTCGACCCGGGAGATACACAAATTTCTTGGGCCGGGTATCGACCCGAAGAATTGTTTTTTTTTTTAAAAAAAAATATCCTACTATTTTACATCGGGTCATTGAGTCGGGTCGGGTATTTTTAAACACCTCTACATGACATAACTCCGTTAGTCATTAATGACACTCGGTGGTATTTGGTGAATTATGAAAAGTCCGATGACATTTGATGATTTTTAAAGTGTTTAATAACATTTGGTGAAATAGCTGGAATAAATAAAAAAATAAAAAAAAATTATAGTACGTATTTTCACCATTTGAAAAATTGAAACAAAGAGGTTGGGTGAAACCGTGAAAGATACAATGAGTTTGGAAGATGAACGGAGGAAAAGAAGCAAAATTATTGCCGGCAATAGGAATCGATCTCGGGACCACTTACCCATGCGTCGGAGCATGGTCCCCACAACAAGACCGCGTTGAGATCATACACCAATGAATTAGGCAGCCGTACGACGCCGTCTTGGGTCGCGTTCAACGATACGCAGCGTCTCGTTGGCGAGGCTGCCACCAACCAAGCCGGAAACAATCCTACCAACACCATCTTTGGTTTTTCTCTTTTTCCCTCTTCTTTTATGCTTTTAAGTTTTGTACTTTATCATTTTTTTTTTTTTTTTTTTTTTTTTTTTTTGTGGAATAATGAAAATTTATACAGAAATAAATGGTTATAATTGTAAATTTGTATACCCTTTACTTCAGAGTAACAAAATATATTTGGTTGAGTTTGATATCTTCTTGATTTATTGATATTGTATGGAAAAATTAAGAATATAGTTGAGATTATGCTATTATTGCTGTTTTACTACATAGTTTAAGAAAGACGCAAAAAAAATATTTTTGAGTCATCTAGTTTTGGATCATTACTCTTTTGGGTCGAATTGGAAATAATAGTGATAGACTATTTTGAGATGTTCAGAAAATAAATGTCTTGATTCCTGAAATAGAAAGTTCAATTAAAGGAGTGAAGTGAGGTTGGGAAGGAGATAAGTGTTATTAAGGTTATGTTAACTTTAGCAGTTAAAAGAGTATAATTTGAAGCTAAATCGTATTGAATTTGCTTCATTTTAAATGATGTTTGAATTGGTTGGGAAACACTTTAGTAAATTAGTTCTTCTTTAAGTTGATTATAAATTAGAGCTTTTTTGTGAAAGAAATTTTACTGTAAAGTTAGTGGCTTGTTATGTGAGCATAGTACAAAGTATTGACTATCGAAATTGTCTCGTGTCAAAGTGGTTGTCTTCTTTGGCTTTTGGTCTTGAATTTGATATTGAAAGCAATTAAGATTAAACAAATTCAAAAGTATTTATTTAGGGAAAGGGCAGTGAAGGTCAAACACTTGAATATGAGATGTGATCAGATTTTTGTTTCTGAGGTAGCAGTTGCTGTGCTTAGTTACATAATTTGCAAGTATCCTGTAAAATCTGTCAACTCATCTTGAACTTTTTTCTGCCATGTTATTTGCATCTTACATGTGAAGAGGGAACATGTTTCTGTAATTAGCCATAGATATTTGTATCAGTCAATTTGTGACGATAACTTTCCGTTGGTATCATAATTTTATACTGTTGGAATCCAATGACGGGATTTGATTTATTTTGGAGATGATAATGAGAGCCCCTTTTTTTTTTTATATATAATTTTGTAGATGCTAAGAGGCTTATAGTAGACCTGGCAATCCTGACCTGACTTGATTGACCCGACCGAATGACCCGACCCGTAACCCGAAAGTTGACCCGAAAATGACCCGAACCCGAACTAACCCGACTAGACCGAACATGACCCGATGTCCCGAAGTGACCCGACTCGAATGACCTGACTCGAAATTGACCCAAAACCCGAACTTGACCCGAAACCCGAACTTGACCCGACCCGAAATGACCTGAAACCCAAAGTCAACTGACCCAATTTTAACCCAAATCGACCCGACCTGTAGTGACCCGACCCGAATTGACCCGAATCCTAAGTGAAATGGTGAAATAGTGAATTACTTAGTTTAGGGCTTCTTTATTTCCTACGTAATAGGCACTCATGATTTTTTTATTTTTATTTTTTTTAACGATTTTACTTTATTTTTCCAACTATTTTTTAAAAGTGAATTTATTTTGGTGACCCAACACATAGTTGACCCGAATAGACCCGACCCGAATTGACTCGATCTAAATTTGACTCGACCCAAAATTGACCCGAAAATTGATCTTAAAAATTGACCCGACCCGAACTAAACAGACCCGACCCGAACTTGACCTCACCCGAACTTGATCCGACCCGAACTTAACCCGAAGTGCTGACCCGATTTTGACCCGAAACCTGAATCAATCCGACTCAACCCGAACCCAACCCGAACATTTGTTGACCCGAACTTGACCCGAAACCTGAATCAATCCGACTCGACCCGAACCCAACCCGAACATTTGTTGACCCGAACTTGACCCGATCTGAATTGACCCGAACCCGACCTGAATGACATGTTTGCCAAGTCTAGCTTATAGGTTGAAAATTCAGCGATGAAATGGTACAAAAAGACATTAAGCTCTGGCCATTCAAAGTGATTCCTACTGCTGATGGAGAGGATTTCAAGAAGCTTATAATTGTAGTTACTTACAAGGGTGAGGAAAAGCAATTTGCTCCAGAGGAGATATCGTCAATGCTTCTCATGAAGATGAAACAGATATCGGAGGCGTATCTTGGTTCAGAAGTTAAGAATGCTGTTGTTACCGTTCCCGCCTACTTCAATGATGCCCAGCGGCAAACAACTAAAGATGCTGGTGTCATTGCTGGCCTAAATGTTATGAGGATAATTAATGAGCCAACAGCAGCTACCATTGCATATGGTCTTAATAGGAAAGGTACTAGCAGTGATGTGACAAAGAATATTTTGGTTTTTGACCTTGGTGGTGGAAGTTTTGATGTCTCTTTGGTCGCAATCAAGAAGGGTGTTTTCGAAGTAAAAGCAGTAAGTGGGGACACCCACCTTGGTGGTAGAGATTTGACAATAGATTGTTGAGCCATTTTATCGCTGAGGTTGAGAGGAAACACAAGAAAGATATAAGTGCCAATTGTAGGGCTGTTGGAAGTCTGAGAGCTTCTTGTGAGAAGGCTAAGAGACTCCTTTCTTCAACTACAGAGACTACTATTGAGATTGATTGCCTTTTTGAGGCAGTAGATTTCTCTTGTAGCATTACTCGTGCCCGATTTGAAAAGATGAATACAGATTTGTTCCAAGATTGTATGTCAATTGTTCAAATGTGTTTGAGAGATGTCAAGATGGAAAAGAGTGAAATTCATGATGTTCTTGTGGGTGGGTCAGCCCGAATACCAAAGATTCAGCAATTGTTGCAAGATATTTACAATGGAAAGGACCTTTGTAAAAGTATTAACCCAGATGAAGCAGTGGCGTGTGGAGCTGCATTCCACGCTGCAATCTTGGCTGGTGTAGGTAGTAATAAGAACTCTGTGCTTGTGGATGTTACTCCTCTGTCCCTTGGTATGCAATTATACTTTGGTAACATGAAAGTAATAATTCCTCGGAATACGCCAGTCCCAACGAAGATGATCAGCAGAGTTAGTACTGCGGTTGACAACCAGAAAACTGTACAATTTCCAGTATATGAGGGTGAGAGATCCATTGCTAATGAAAACAACTTATTGGGCCAATTTTCTCTGCATATCCCTCCAGCACCTCAAGGCGTCCCTCAGTTTGATGTCTGTTTCAACATTGATGTTGATGGCCTATTAACTGTGTCTGGAGAGCTTGTTGGCACGAACAACAAGGACCAAATCACCATCGCCAATCACAGTGGGAGGTTATCAAAGGAATCGATTGACAAGATCATGAAGTCTGCTCAAAAGTACATGGCTGAGGATGAGGAGTGCAAGAAGGCAGCCATAGTAAAAAACAAATTGGAGAATTATATATACGAGGTTAAGGGAACCTTAAGAGGTAGTGTGTTGTAGCCAAGCCTAACAACTTGGTTATGGACGTTTCTTTGGTTCAAGATGTAGCATCATGCATTGGTGCTATGCGTTCTATCTATGTGCAGCAAGATATTCAATCCCTTGAATTTCTTGTTGTTCTTATTAACTAGTTCATTCTAGTTCATTTTATGCTTTGAATAAATTGTAAACTTTAGTCTTATTTTAAGTTTGCAAATTAGTTATATTTTCTTTAGTTCTTTTTAGCTGATTAAAGTTCGAAAATGTAATGTCACATTCACACAAAGTACAAGTGCAAGATACATCAAGAAGGCAGCCGTTTAAGCTTGTGAAAGAAGCCTAGATTCCGAAATTCTTTTAAAGGAATTTCAAGGCTTTAATTTGGGTGTTACAATCAGCTTCAATGAGGAGTTACAAGCTTTCAATTGAGCCTTCAAGTGGGCGTTTTTTCAGTCAGCAAAGGAGCATCTAAAAGGCGTCCGGATACACTCTTGTCTACATACATTCAAGCTTATTTCAAGGCTTGAAACAAGGAGGAGTTACACTTCTTTTTTGCTGTTTGAATTGGGCGTAAACAATGGAGCTGTTACACTTCTTTTTTGCTGCTTTGTTGGGCGTGAATCAAGGGGGAGTTATGCTCTCATTTCTGATTTTATTTTCAGCCTTAATTTGGAGGTTACAAACCACCATTTTCTCTTTGATGTATCTAGTTAAATAAAGCTTCTTTTATTTATGTATCTAGACAACAAAAGCTGATCTTGTACTTAGCTTAGGCGTGTAACAAGTGAGCTGAAAAGTCACTTAATTAGCTTGTACTTAAGGATGCTTGTTTACTATAAATAGCAAGCAAATGTGAATGAAAAAATCAGATTATTTCGAACAAACAACTTTGTCTTTACATTCGTTTCTTGGATTAGAAACAAACCTGAAATTCTTGGATTTGGAATTTCGTTTCCTTTGCTTAGTTAGCTAGTTTAGGCTACTAGTTGGCTTGTGATCTTAGGAATCCAAACCGTTTCTTAGTGGTGTGACTATATCTAAGAAGCCTTTGGTTCTTTAGCCTTAACTATTCTTTGGTTTATCCCTTGTATATCTCGAGTTGTTACTCCAAATATACAACATTTGGCGCTAGAAGGAGGGGGATCTAGCAAAACACAAACTCAAACACAACCCAAACACAACTCAAACACAACCCAAACACAACCCAAACACAACCCATGGCAAGCGTTCCACCACCTAATTGGCAAGAGTATGTCAATAAGGTTGAGCAAGAGAAAGAAGATATGGAGCAATGAATGCAATATCTGCAAGATCAATTAAAAGATCTTACTACTAAGTTGCGCCATCAAAGAGAGGGCTCACCCAATCACAGTGATGAAGGAATGAGTGAATCTAATTTCAATCACAATGAGAGACCTTTTAATGAAAGAGAAAGGTCACGACCTAACAATGATATTAAAGCTGACATTCCGGAGTATGATGGCAAACTCGATGCTGATGAGTTTGTAGAATGGCTTAGAACGGTGGAGAGAGTGTTTGACTACAAGCAAACACCGGAAGAGAAAAAGGTGAAGATTGTGGCCTTAAAGTTACGAAAATATGCCTCAACTTGGTGGGCTAGTGTGTGCGCCAAGAGGGAAAGGCAAGGCAAAGAGAAGGTGAGATCGTGGACCAAGATGAAGAAGATGTTGAAACAAAAGTTTCTTCCCACATATTATGTGCAAGAAAACTTTTCAAAGTTCCACAACCTCAAACAAGGTACAAAATCAGTAGAAGAATATGCTAGGGAATTTGAAGGATTTATCATGAAATGTGGAGTAGAGGAAGATGAACCTCAAACATTGGTGCGCTTTTTGGGAGGACTTGACCCAAAAATAGCCAATGTGGCCGAGCTACACCCTTACACCACCCTTGAAGAGCTCATTATCTTAGCACATAAGATTGAGCAGCAACAAAAAGTAAGAGGCAAAGGTGATTCGTCACGTTTTGCATCTCAAACCTCATTTCCCCCAAAAAAGCAAACAACCAACTTCCCACCTTACAAACCCACATCCAATCAGCCTACTTCTAAACCACCTTCACAAACCACCCAAAATTCCAACTCAAAACCAGCCCTAAGAAGATGTTTCAAGTGTCAAGGCCTTGGACATTTGGCTAGTGATTGTCCAAATAAGAAGATTGTTACTTATATTGAGCATGAAGAGGAGGACGAATTAGAAGTTGAAGAGGACAGCAATCTTGAGGAGAATGATGAGTATGCGTGTCTAGGACCGGATGAAGGAGAATGCTTGGTGGTTCGACGTACGCTAAGCAATATGTTGGGCAAAGAAGGGAGCTTGCAACGTGAGGCGATCTTTCACACTCGTTGCACCATTGGTGGTAAGGTATGCACCTTGATTATTGATGGAGGTAGTTGTACCAATGTAGCTTCACAAGTAATGATAGACAAGTTGAAAATAAAAACCGTCCCTCACCCTAAACCTTATGTGATTCAATGGCTAAATCATGGTAAAGGGATTCAAGTAACACAGCAAGTCTTGTTATCATTTAGTATTGGTAAAACTTATGAGAAAGAATTATGGTGTGATGTTATACCTATGGATGCATGTCATATTTTACTTGGTAGACCTTGGCTATTTGATAAGCGTGTGATGCATGATGGGTATAAAAACACTTACTCCTTCACTAAGGATGCACAGAAAATAATCCTTACCCCTCTAAACCTCAAAAACGGCCACCCCACATCCACACCCCCCACTTCCCTTACCACCCTCATCAAATCTGAATTACATGAGCATAAAGCTCACAAACAATTCATTTTGAGCCAACTTGATACACCTTCCCAACCGTCACAAAAAGAACAACACCCACTCCTCACCCCTCTTCTGAAAACCTATTCTCATGTTTTCCCCGAAGACATTCCCCATGGCCTACCCCCAAAACGTGATATACAACACAAGATTGATCTTGTTCCCGGATCAATGCTTCCAAACAAACCAGCTTATAGAACCACTCCAAAAGAAACCGAGGAGATTAGAAGACAAGTGGAAGAATTATTGTCCAAGGGTCTTATTCGTAAGTCTCTTAGTCCATGTGCTTGTCCTACTTTGATTGTGCCTAAGAAGAATGGAGAATGGCGAATGTGTTTTGATAATCAACTAGATCACTATCAAGTACCGGTTTCCTATTCCGAGATTGAATGATTTGCTTGATGATTTGCATGGTTCTAAGGTGTTCTCTAAAATTGATTTGAGAAGTGGCTACCATCAAATTCGAATTTTCAAAGGAGATGAATGGAAGACCGCTTTCAAGACAAAGGAGCGCCTCTATGAATGGCTTGTGATGCCATTTGGTTTGTCTAATGCACCATCTACATTTATGCGCCTTATGAATCAGGTTATGCAACCTTTAATGGGTAAATTTGTTGTAGTTTATTTTGATGATATTTTGGTGTATAGTAGGGAGGAAGAAGAGCATTCTATGCATTTGCAACAGGTTTTTGAAGCCCTTGAACGTGAGAAATTGTATAGTAACTTAGAGAAGTGTCATTTCTTCACTTCCCAAGTTATTTTTCTTGGCTTTAAAGTCTCATCACAAGGCATTGAAGTTGATGAAAAGAAAGTTGCTGCAATTCGTGAGTAGCCCACGCCGCAAACAATTCAACAAGATCGTAGCTTTCATGGACTTGCTTCTTTCTATAGGAGATTTGTGCGGAATTTTAGTACTCTCATGGCACCTATCACCGAGCTAACTAAACATCAAAAGTTAGTTTGGAATGACAAGGCTCAAAAGGCTTTTGATGAGGTAAAACGTCAACTTACTAGTGCACCTATTCTTGCTTTGCCTAACTTTGATGATGTTTTTGAAGTTGAATGTGATGCTAGTGGAGTGGCATTGGTGCTGTTTTGTCACAAGTTGGGCGTCCCCTTGCCTACTTTAGTGAAAAACTCAATGAAGCACAACGAAAGTATAGCACCTATGATAAGGAGTTTTTTGCTCTTGTTCGTGCTTTGGACCATTGACGACATTACCTCATTTCCAAGGAGTTTATCCTTCATTCAGATCATGAAGCACTCAAATATCTTCAAAGCCAACAAAAACTCCAACCACGCCATGCCAAATGGGTGGAGTATTTGCAAGCTTTTCATTTTGTGATCAAGCATAAGAGAAGCGCCATGAACAAAGGGGCTGATGCACTTTCAAGGAGATACACACTCTTGAATTCTTTCAAAGCAAGGGTGATAAGTGTTGAAGAAGTGAAAGCAAGTTACAAAAATGATCATGATTTTGGTGATTTGTTTTTAAAATGTTCTAATCATGCTTACAAAGATTATTACATTTTAGATGGTTACTTGTTTAAAGGAAACAGGTTGTGCATTCCAAGATCAAGCCTAAGAGAATCTCTTATCAAAGAGTTTCATGAAGGAGGGATGGCGGGACACTTTGGCCTAGAGAAGACTACTCTTCTTGTACAAGAATACTTTCATTGGCCTAGATTGGTCCGTGATGTGGAGTTCATTGTGAAGAGATGTGTGATATGTCAAAAGGCCAAGAGTCATAGTCTTCCACAAGGCTATCTTTTTCCCTTACCTATTCCACAAGCACCATGGGAGGATGTTAGTCTTGATTTCGTTTTGGGGCTTCCTATTACCCAACGAAAGAAAGATTCCATAATGGTTGTTGTGGATCGATTTTCTAAAATGGCTCATTTCATTGCTTGTCATTCAACTTATGATGCTACTCATGTTGCTAACTTAGTTTTCAATGAGATTGTGCGTTTACATGGTGTACCTAAATCCATGGTGAGTGATCGTGATCCAAAATTTCTAAGTCATTTTTGGCTTACATTATGGAGAAAGATGGGCACGAAATTGAACTTTAGCACTTCAAGCCATCCTCAAACAGATGGTCAAACCGAAGTGACTAATAGAACTTTGGGATCCTTGTTGCGGTCTTTGGCTACCAAACGTCCCAAGCAATGGGAAGAGATGCTTCCTCGTGCGGAGTTTGCTTACAACCGTGTGCCTAGCAAGACAACAGGTTTGAGTCCTTTTGAAGTTGTGTATGGCTTCAATCCTATTCCCATCACCAAACAAGTTCAGCAATGATGTCGAGGTGCGTGCAAAAGAAATCAAGTCTATGCATGAGCAAGTTCGTTCCAAAATTGAACAAGCTAATGCAAAGACAAAGGCCTACTATGACAAGAAGAGAAAGGAGGTCCGTTTTCAACCTGGTGACTTAGTTTGGATGCATCTTCGAAAGGACAGATTTCCTTCCAAAAGGCGGTCCAAGGTTAGTCCTCGTAGTGATGGTCCATTTGCTATTGTTGAAAAGGTGAATGATAATTCTTACAAAGTTGAATTGCCCGGAGATTATGGTGTTTCTAGCACCTTTAACGTGGCTGATTTATCACCTTACTATGATGAGTTTGAAGAGTTGTTGAGTTTGAGGGCAAACTCTTTTAGAGAAGGGGGGAATGTTGTAGCCAAGCCTAACAACTTGGTTATGGACGTTTCTTTGGTTCAAGATGTAGCATCAAGCATTGATGCTATGCGTTCTATCTATGTGCAGCAAGATATTCAATCCCTTGAATTTCTTGTTTTTCTTATTAACTAGTTCATTCTAGTTCATTTTATGCTTTGAATAAATTGTAAACTTTAGTCTTATTTTAAGTTTGCAAATTGGATATTTTCTTTAGTTCTTTTTAGCTGATTAAAATTCGAAAATGTAATGTCACATTCACACAAAGTACAAGTACAAGATACATCAAGAAGGCAGCCATTTAAGCTTGTGAAAGAAGCCTAGATTCCGAAATTCTTTTAAAGGAATTTCAAGGCTTTAACTTGGGTGTTACAATCAGCTTCAATGAGGAGTTACAAGCTTTCAATTGAGCCTTCAAGTGGGCGTTTTTTCAGTCAGCAAAGGAGCATCTAAAAGGCGTCCAGATACACTCTTGTCTACATACATTCAAGCTTATTTCAAGGCTTGAAACAAGGAGTTACACTTCTTTTTTGCTGTTTGAATTGGGCGTAAACAATAGAGCTGTTACACTTCTTTTTTGCTGCTTTGTTGGGCGTGAATCAAGGGGGAGTTATGCTCTCATTTCTGATTTTATTTTCAGCCTTAATTTGGAGGTTACAAACCACCATTTTCTCTGTGATGTATCTAGTTAAATAAAGCTTCTTTTATTAATGTATCTAGACAACAAAAGCTGATCTTGTACTTAGCTTAGGCGTGTAACAAGTGAGCTGAAAAGTCACGTAATTAGCTTGTACTTAAGGATGCTTGTTTACTATAAATAGCAAGCAAATGTGAATGAAAAAATCAGATTATTTCGAACAAACAACTTTGTCTTTACATTCGTTTCTTGGATTAGAAACAAACCTGAAATTCTTGGATTTGGAATTTCGTTTCCTTTGCTTAGTTAGCTAGTTTAGGCTACTAGTTGGCTTGTGATCTTAGGAATCCAAACCGTTTCTTAGTGGTGTGACTATATCTAAGAAGCCTTTGGTTCTTTAGCCTTAACTATCCTTTGGTTTATCCCTTGTATATCTCGAGTTGTTACTCCAAATATACAACATAGTGGAACAAAGATGAATAACAAGGACAAGAGAAAAGTGGGTGATGCCATTGAGAAGATAACCCAGTGGCTGAAGTGGAACTATTTGCTTGCTGAAGCTGTCAAGTTTGAGGAGAAAATAGAACCTTAAAAGCATCTGCGAACCTATGTTCGCAAAGATGCACCAGCAGGAGGATGGTACTCCTAAGGCTACCCGTGGTTGCTCCAAGATTGAGATTATAGAACTTGATTAAGCTTTAATCATGTAGCGAACCTGATCACAACTATTTTGTCATTAGTCTTTTAGTACAAGTGATCCATTAGGCAGATATGATTATGGCTGTTAATTTTATTAGCTAGCACCCGTACAGAATGTTCCCACCTGAGTACTTGTAGTTCTCATGTATGCCTTGCTTTGCTATGATATGCTTGCTCATTTTTTGAGCTTGCACCCTGATTTGGAGGCTGTTTGCTTACATAGCTGTCTGCTTGTCATTATTATACCTGTAACTGAAAGTTTAAAAATAAGATAACAGCTTATATAACGTCCAGCTTCAGTCTCAAAATGCTCCTCTCCATTTATTCTTTTTTTTCCCTTAAAAATTGGGTTAATTGAATGGCAGGTAAATCGGAATATGCGTCTATGCAATTTAATACTAATTTTTTTTTCCCCTCTAGATTAGGGATGGCAATGGGCCACAGGGAACGCATGAGTATTTGTCTGCTGTCATTCTCGTTGTCTTTTCTATTACCTGTTTCTAGCAATTTTTGAATCTCTACTCAATAAAGGGAGCAGCAGGGACTCTTCAAAGGCCAGGTAAGAATAATAAAAATTAATATGATCTGCTGGCTTTGGAAATAAGCAGTCTGACTTTCTATTTACAATGTTCAGAATGCTTTGAATGAGCTTCATTTTCCCTGCTAAATTATAACACCCTGTTTGTGTAGCTGATCATTTTTGATACTTTGCTTTTGGATGTAGTCTTCCTTTTTGCAACGAGCATCCAGCCGTCCTAGGCCTTCAAGTCATAGCCTCATAGGCATGGACCAAGCCCTGGGAACTCATTTATTTTTGGACGAGATGACAGCAATAGCTGGAGCTCAATGACTTTGCTGACTCCCTCCATCTGGTAAGCTTAATTTACAAGTCATTGTAACTATTAAAGGGAGCATCTATTCTCAGTTTTAAGCTAATTACAGTCCTTAACTCTTTATCCACACTAAAGCATACAAGTTCCCTACTTACAATTTAATTCGAGTGAGACTACTAATAAATTCTGGATTGATATCCTCATATCTAAAGTCTGGTATGTATGTTACTATGATTCTTCATTTCACCGTAATTGACTTTTTTGGATCCTTGAAACTTGGTTGTAGGCTAAATAATAGAAAAAATGACATTCCCTTGTTGACTTACAAAAAGAACAAGGACATAATTTGGTAAAATGCAACCATCATACACGTATGTATGTTAAACTAACCTGAATAAAATACATTATTTCTAATTATTTGCCATTAGACTGCCTCAAATTCGACGTAATTCAGAATAAAGACCTGTTCAACTCTCACCTTCTGTAACTGATAACAATTTATCACAATCTATGCATAAACCAAAGTACTGTATGTTTATACTAGCTAAAAGTTGCAGCTAGTTAAATTAAAAAAACTATTGAGTTTTGTTACTAGATAAATTCCATTAGGTAGATATGAATATGACTGTTAATTTTATTAGCTAGAGCCTATGAAGAATGTTTCCACCTGAATACCTGCAGTTCTTGTGTATGCCTTCTTTACTACAGTAAGCTCCCCTCAATTCTTTAACTTTCCCTCTTTCTCTCCTTTCCCATTCAGTCTTTCTCCGAGATGTTCTTTCCTCTTTCTTCAATGGCAGCATTACGTGGAAGCAACAAGAGGAGAAAATAGTATTGTTGGCCATGAATGTGTTTGAGAAGGTTGAAGAAGGTACTTATGGAAAGGTTTATCGAGCCAAAGAGGCTATTTAAAACATCTTTTTTCAGACTTATTCAGTCTGTTTACTGCTCAAATTCCACCATTTTTGTTCCATAATTATCTTATTCTCTAATCTTTACACTTTTTCAATTTCTGATTTTATTTAGGTAGGTGTCCTGAGTTTTAATAGAGTATTAAAGTCGAAATTGCTTTGTGAGTGCATTGAGAGCTTGTTTAGGTAGTTAGATGAGGGATCCCCCCCAACCCTTTTCTCAAATTTATGGTATCCATTCAATCGAAAAATTGATTTATAATATGTTAGTTTTCAATCGTTTGCATTTTATGGCTTCGGGATTCTTATTATTTTTTTTTTTTTTTTTTTTTTTTTTTTTTTTTTTTGTGTGATAGATATTATATTTAGGATAATATTTATCGCAGATTAGGATATATTATTGTATATTTTGTATCCTTATCGTTCTAGGTTTCCTAACGTGATTAGGCCTAGCTATTGTAAACTCTATGTAATGAATCAATGGTACACACTCCAGGCTTGAGGAGTTTTCCCGAAATCTTACATGGTATCACATCTTTAGGTTTTTAAAGATCTTTTTTTTTTTTTTTTTTTTTTTTTTTTTTTTTTTTTTTTTTTTGCTTCCGCTAGTTTTTGTTATCTTCACAGCGCCCCTCCACCATGACTAAGGACGGTGACACTACCCCACCGCCACCACCTCCCCCTTCAACAAATTTTCATCCTGCTCTCTCTGTCAATAACATTCGGAATGCTATTCCTTTAACCCTTGACTATGAGAAGGTGCAATATTCCAATTGGGTGGAACTTTTTGTGAACCATGATGTGGCATATAATATTCTTGATCGTATAGACCCGACCACACCTCGTCCCTCGGAGGTTTCGGATGCTTTATGGGCGAGGTTGGATGCTATTGTCAAGCAGTGGATATACGGGACAATATCCACCGATTTTTTTGAAACTATCCTTTTCTCGAAAATCCATGGCTCTAGAACTATGGAATCGTATCAAAGAGACATCAGAGCACGTCTAACTCTCGAAAATGCGTCGTGGCACAGACAACTCCACCCCACCGACCTCTTTTGTCGCACAACATCAGAGCACGTCTAACTCTACCCAACCTCAGCAGCAATCTTAGTTCGTCGGCAGTGGAGGCAGCGGCGGTGGCCGGGGCCATGGCGGCGGCAAACCCGGCCGCGGTGGCACAGGGCGTGGACAACAATCCGGTCAGCAACAGTCACAGCCACAACAATCGGGCCTACAATAAAGTGCTCCACCTGGAGAACCATGGGCCCAACAACAATGGCCTAGTACACAACAATTCTTTTGCCTCACCAACAAAGGTGGGTCGTCCCACCTGCCCCATTCCCAACTGCAGGGTAATACCAGTTGTTTTGGGTGTTTTTGTCCCTCGGGAGAGTTACAGCTCAATGACTGATCCGATTGTGCATGTACCTGCAAAACAACGGAGACTCAGAGTGTTTGGAGCTCTGCCTCCGACGATCAAGTTAGTTCTTGTATGTGAGTAGGAGAAGGTGCGGAAGATACAATGAGATCTTCTCGGATTCCGAGATCAGGTGTTCTTTAATGTAAGAGAATGTAGGGTAGGTGTAATAAATGATTGAATGTATCCCAAAATTAGGGAATATCTCCCTATTTTTAGGTTTGTTGGAGAACGTGCCCCTTCTAGGTCATTTGACCTAGATTTGGTGGTTTGCACCATTTTAAGGCGTTCTTGGGAATTGGGCCTTGAAAGCCGCAATTATGGGAAGAATCTGAGGCTAACACGTGTCAGTTGGCAATTGGCCCAAATGGACCTGCCAGGCTTGACACGTGGCCTTCTCCGATTGGTCCACGTGGACAGGGTAATTTTATCCAAAACATTTGCCCCTCACAAGTGGCACGTGGCTGGTCACGTGGCGCCTATGACACGTGGCATTCAGTAAACGATGAATAGTAAAATTATTCACCCTCTAGGGTTTGACGGGGATGCCCTTGCTTTTACCCTTCTATAAATAGAAGGTTTCACCCTCTCCCTCTCCTCATTTCACACCAGAGCTTTTGACTTCTTAGAGAGAGAAAGAGAGAGCTTTTTAGAGAGAAACTCTTCAACCGTCTACTGTGATTTTGCATTTTTCCAGCTGCGTTTCGAGAAGCACATCCGGTCACCGCGTGTAGCAGTTTTTAGATATTCAGAGCTAAGTTAAAGGTAACCACCTATACTCCTTTCAAGCTTTTTATACTTTTTCGCTTGTGTAGTTAGGCTTCTAAAACAAAATGGACTCGTCATCGACCCACACGGCACCGCCTAGGTCATTCAGCCGGTCTCCTGGTACGGCTGAATCTAGAACCTAGGGTGCCTTTTGTGGACATTCGGACCTGCTTTGCTTATCCTCAAACACCTCCGTCTCTGTGTCTATGCAGGACACAATGCCAAGAGTTAAGCAGATAGCTCGAAGGCGGCGCGCTAAAAAAGTGCCAGCAAATGAAGTTATTCCTGATAAGGAATACGAGGGTTCGGAGGAAGAGCAGGCGGGTTCTTCCCCGGATGGCACCCCTTCAACCCTTAGCGACACAATTTTGGAAGGGGAAAACGGGGAGGGCGATGCCTCTTCCTTGGGGTCTGATGAGGAGGGGTCAGGTGGCGAGGAAGCCGCTGAGAGATCTGACTCAGAGGCGTCGAGCTCTGGCCAAGGGGATATAACGGATGACTATCAACACCCGGCTAAAGGACCGGATCAACCCAATCACTTAACGACTATAATGCTTCCTAGGGACTAAGTTGTTAAGCAAAGCAGCTTTAGAGCTTTTGTAGAAGCGCATCCGGTAGGAGAGGGATGGAGAATATAGGTTCCTGCGCCTGAGGCAACCATTGGCTAGGAGGATGATATTGAGAACGCCGACTACTGTTTTGGCTGCTATGAAGCCGTGATTAAAGTCGGCCTCCGCTTTCCCCTTCGCAAAGGGATTAAAAGAATTTAGAAGGGGTATGACTTGGGCGTGTGGCAGCTTACCCCAAACTCGTGGATAAACATTATGGGCTATATCGCTGCCTGCGAGTTTCAGTATATAGAGGCTAGCTTTGTAGCGTTTGCCCATATGCATTATATAAGCCGGGCCCCTAGCGGGTATGGTGCGTGGTAAACTCTAACCACACACTCGCAATACTTAATGACCTTGGACAAGCCGTCCAAATGGTCCGGCTGGAAGGATAGGTTTTATTTGATCTTCTCTCCAACTCTAGGGCACAACCGATTCCTTCGCCGGTACAATCAAGATCCGGCGCTTCTCGGGAAGAAGTGTGCCCTGCCCCGAATGTCTTCTAGGGCTTACGAGCTGATTTTGGAGCCGGGCTTTTTTAAGACAACAACTGAGCCATTAGAGGATGGGACTCAAATAATCGTTTCTAAGAACTGGATACCTCATCCGGACTTTTTTTAAGAACGAGGCCTTCCTCTACGCCTGTGGGCTTAGCACCATGTTCACGCAGGGTAAACTTATAACACACCCGGTAATTTGCTGTCTGCATTGATGCTTTACTTGTTTTTTGTTAATCTTTTGACCAACTGTTTCCTTTGTTTTTGCAGAAGAAGGGAAGAACATGGTACCTTCAGAAATGATGGGTTGCTCTTCTGTGGAAGGAGCAGCTTCTGGAGAAGAAGGCGGCCTTGGAAGCCAAGGAAGCCAAAAAGGGAGGGGTGAGCCGTCTGCTAGACTCAAACTTTTTCAGCTATACCCCTTTCATTCAACTTATAAATTTCCGTTTGTAATTCCCCATTTTGTTATTTGCAGTGCGGAAGCAAGTCAACCCCCCACTCCATCACCAAGTTATTCAAGCGGCCGGGGGATGAGTGGGCCTAAACTCCGTCTAAGACGGGGAGAAAAAATTCTTCAACCTCCTCTTCAGCCAACCCAAATCTTCCTATAACCGGGGGCAAAGGCCCGGCTATGATGAAAGCTTTGAGCGAAAGCTCGGGGCGATCTGTTGAGAAACAGCCAGATGTCTCAACGACATCGAAGAGTGGCGAGCCACTCAATGCTGCAGTCGGCGCTGTAGCTGTTGGAGTTTGGTAAGTCCAACTTACCGCGGAAACGATCCCGACCCAAAGAACCACTCGCAATTAATAAAATCATAAAGCATAATGACAGGGTAAAGTCGTATCCCCTAATCAAAAGTATTACCTAAGTCCTCTAACTAATGCAGATAGGGAAGTAGGGTCAAATTCACAGGGAAACAAGTCTTTCTACTCCTAATTAATTATTATAATATAAATTATCAAGATAACCAATATTGTTGTAATTAAAGACTATACTACGAAGAATAAGATCGGAGGAAATAAAGTAGGGAGAAATTAAATATCAAAAGACCTAGGGCTTAGGTTCACTAATAAATAATATTCCAGGGCAAATCATAATAAACAATCATCAAGCATTGATTAATCAGATTATAAAGGGCTTTCGCTACGTATTATAATCACAGAGTTAATTTACCGGTATTAAATCTCATCTGTCGAATTTCGACTTAACCATTTATAAATTAGTCCGCCTATTGAAACTAAGCCTAAACATCAATTCTCATCTGTCGAATCTTGAATTAATATTGCTAAACTCATACAATTAAATCTGGCCAAATCTAATTGCATAGCATTAAATCAATCAATAGGAAATTAACCAAGCATTGATAATCAACAATCACAAATTTACCCCTTCATATTGTTTATTAGATCCCCATAAACCCTAAAAATAAAACTACTCAAGCATAATTAAATCTAAACTAATCAAATCAATAAAGCAAAACATAATGAAAGAATTAAATAAAATAACTGAAATTAAAAGAGAAGAAATTGTTACCAAAAGAAATCTGGATTAATGAATGTAATTAAGAACAGAGTTGAGAGAGAATTTAAGATAGAGAGAAAATATCCTAAGTAGAGAGAAAATCTAAAAGAGAAGGTAATAAAAAATTACGTACATAATTCGTACTTAAACACTCCTAAAACAAAAACTAAAATAAAACTAATCAGGTACTTAGAAAAACACGCGTCCGATCGGGCCCGCCTTTTTACTATGCCCCTTGCTGGTGTGCTGCGCCCGATCGAGTCTACGCTCACCCACTCGATCGGGCGCGCTTCTTCCTTGATGTTGCTTTGCGCGCGCCCGCCCGATCGTAAGTATGCTTGCCCGATCGGGCCCGTTTCCTTCTTCGAGGCTTGGATTTCGATTGGGCTCGATTCCTCGGCCCAATCCGGATTTCCTCATCGGGTCTTGATTACTTGATCCAATAGCCCCGATATCACATACCGAGCGCTTAATCACCGGCTCTCACCGGTCCTGGGCTTCAAGGATGGTCGTGTCCTCCTAACTCTCGTAGTTGCTTCTCGAAAAACCCGAAAAACGCTCCATGTGTGCATTTTCCTACAAAACTCAAGCAAAACTACAAAAACACTATAAAACACAAATTAGTAATAAAAGTGGCCCTAAGAGCCAAAAACACTACTAATTATGACCATGGGATGGGGGTAAAACACTATATAAATTGGACATATCACATAACAAATAAATATAAAAGGATAAAATTGGAATTTACCTTTGACGCGTGCTTCGCCCGACCTAATGGGCTCTTACTTGAAAGCTTTAGCTCCGAAAATACCGAGCCTCCAACGGTATCCACCCACAAAGGACGAACACCGACTTTTTAGGTCCGCTACCTTGGAGTAGAGCTGATCGTTTACGGGCTTTGGCCGGACACGGGCCGGGCCTAAGCTGTAAAAATTGTCCAACGGGCCTGATTATTGAAAGCCCATACTGACCTGACAACGATGCCTTACCCGCCCTTTTAAACATAGCAGGCTGTCCCAGGCTAACAGGCTTGTTTACTCTTTTTTTTTCATTTATTAATATCGATGTATAATCTGCTACTTTACAATAGGAAAAAGGAAAACACGACTTTGTAATGCACCCAACAAAATGCAAACCTGTGAATGAAATGCAAGAATTGAATGAAAACTCTTTGTTGCGTGTACTCAAGTGCTTCAGACCATAATAAATTAATAAGTTTAAACCTTGCAACATACATAAATTTAGAAATATAAAAATGAGGAGGGAGCCCC